TCTCCAGAATGAATGAGCCCTTCCCACCCTTTTGTCCACCACCCCCTCACATCAAGCACCCTCATTCTTCTCTTTCAAGCTGAATTGTTTCTGTTGCTAACTGTTGTGGTTTGGCTCTGGAATGTTCTCTAAAGTCTCATGTGTCAAAGGCTTGGTCCTCAGTAGCAGCAGTGTTGAGAAGTGGGGAATCTGGGAAATGATTGTCCTCTGAGGGCTCTGACCTCATCGAGGTATTCATCCACTGGTGGATTAATAATTGGATGACATTATTAGGAGATGGTGGAAATTGTAGGAGGGAGGGCCTAGCTGGAGGAAGCAGGTCACTGGGCTGTGCCCTGGAAGGGCAGACCTTATCCTTGACTGCTTCCTCTTGCTCTCTGCTTCTGGGCTGCCATGAGCTGAGCAGCTCTAATTGGCTACATTCTCTGCCTTGCTGTTCTCCCTCACCTCAGGCCCGAGCGATGGAGCCCACTGACTACAGACTGAAATCTCTGAAGCCATGAGCCAGAATAAATCTTTCTTCCAATAAGTTGATTTCCTCAGGTATTTGTCACAGCGATGAAGAGCTGACAAACATATTCACCCAATGCCATGGAAGCAAAACCCAACCCACAGGAAGCATTTGGGCTGTGATAACAATGTCAGATTTATTTTGTTTCTTGATTCTGAATCTTGGACCAAGTTGGGGCTGGGAATTCTATAGCATGTTCTGTTAAATAAAAAAGTCAGACAGCTTTTGCTATCTGAAACCTCTTTAGAGCTCTTAGTGATGGGATCTTGGCTAAGAGACAGGGAAGAGCTCCCAAAGATTCACCCGAGCCTCAGCATGTACCAGGGAAACATGCCCCATGCACATGCACCTTCGGAGCCCGCTGGCAGCAGAGGTAGGCAGATACATCAAGGCAGCGGGAGGCCGGGGTAAGTATTCACGAGAGAGGGAAGGAGGCTGAGAAATTTGTCATGTCATCGATACCCACCCTCCTGCCTGCAGCCTCATGCAGTTTTCTGGCTTCTGTGGTTTTAAACCATTTTGATTAGCACCATAGGGAGAAAATCCATTTCTAGGTTTCTTCCAGGGTTAAAGGACTTGGGTTAAACCTTCTGAAAGAGATATGGTTTCCTGATGCCTACTGAGTTCACTTGGGATGCAATTTCAGAGCGATGTTGAACAGTACTTGGAGCGAAAGAAAACCTTAATAGCCTCTGGAGGACACCCCTTAGGGGTCCAGGCTGAAGAGTAGGTGGGGTATGTGTGAGAAGACGGGTGGTAGTTTTCTGGTAGTTTCATTAAACTGCCACTTGATTCAACATGGTGGAATTTCTTGATTTCTGAACATTTTTAGTTATGCAAATTTTGTTCAAGCAAAGCACCCATAGAAACCTGCTCTGCAAATGTGAAGAGGCCCTGGTTAAAGAGAGGGGTAGGGGGCCTGGAGACCTGAATGCTCTTGTCCCTTCTTCTCCATCTTCTAGAATTTCAGAAGGAATCCTTGAAACCATCAGGCCAGTTCAAAGATTCCTGGGGCAGTTTTAAAAGACACAAAATTTGAAATCTGTTGAAGTCAGTGGCCCAACACTTGATTGACCTCTTCATCCCCACTAAGTTGGATATCATAAAATTAATTGCTTAATAAGAAAATATAAACATAATTGTCAATAAATCTTAAATAGTGTGTGGAAAATGGCTTATAGTAGGTGCCCAATAAATAGCCTCTAACAAGCCACGCTTTGCTGAGGTTCATAGGAATTAAAAAATGAATGAGAGACTTTGTGAAGCTGAGGGTCTGGTCCCTACCATGGGCAGGATAGAATATGAACTACACGTGATAAAACAAAGTGCCACGGGAGGAAAAATGGAGGAAATGAACATTTCTAATCAGGTGTTGCTGACACTGCCAGTTGCCTACCCAATATCTTTTCCCCATGTCTTCCTTTGTAATAGAATCTTCGATTTCCATCTGAATCATGGTTGCCTAGAATAGAAACCACACCTCCTAGCATCCCTTGCAGCTAGTGGCTCTGTAAGTTCTGGCCAATGAAATGTGAACAGAGTGCAAAGTGAATTTGGAGACTCTTGGCATTGCCCTCTGCCTCCCTCGCCCTGGCCCACTTTCTCCATCTCATTGCTGGGACTGTGTGGCTGAGTGGTTTTTTTCTGGTAGTTTCATTAGCTCCCTGCAGAAGGCCGTGCGTGGTTCAATGGAATCTTTGAGCGTGGAAGGGATATGAACCAGTGCCTCACAAAGTGTCCCTTCCACTGTTCCATCCAGGGGCAGCTTTATTCCCAGGAGGCTGGGTGGATTTGTGATTTTAAACATCCCACAGCCCCAGGAGCTCCCACTGATGGTGAACAACTCTGATGTCCAGGGTCTCAAGAAAGGATCTCGGTAATATTTCTAAGTTGCAAAAAGGACACACCTGTATTCAGGATGCAATTATGGGTTTGCAGGGTGGAAGGCGGCAGGAACTGGTGGGCTCTCTCTCTCCAATCTCACTAAGACCTTGAGAGAGAGAAGTCCTGAGCTTGTGGGGCTCTCCTGGATACAGATGGGGATCCCGTGGAGAGAGGGCATTCCAAGAGCCAGGTCCAGAGGGAGGGTAGGGCTTCTCCTCCAGTAGCTGCCTGTTGAGATTACTCAATCAGGGTCTAATTCCAGGAGAACAAATAGCTGGGAGATGGGGGGTGAGATGAAGAAGGAGGTCATCCCGGGCCCAACTAGAAGGAGGCACTGAGGGGCTGGGGGAAGGGGAGCTACTCTGAGACTTTTGAAGGAACCTGAATTCTCTGAATCCAGCGTTACCTGGTGGACTGAGATGGAGCCCACAATTCTTGAGGGAGTGACAGAAGTTTTCTCTAACCAAACTGTGCCTCCCTGTCATTGCTTGGAACTCTGCATTTATGACAAGGCCTGATATTTCATCAATGTGAGTGGCAGAGAGAGTACCTATCTCCTTTTTCAAGAAGTAGCAATACTCCAAGGATTAGGATCAATCCAATCAGCAGGGTGTCCTGTGATCACCATCTCAAGAAAGTGGGAATGGAGTTGAGGAGAAAAGGAGGAGAGAAGGAAACATTTAAAGGGCAGAGGGACACCAGAATGAGGGTTTTGACAATCAGGGGTACCATGAGGGCAGAGACTATGAACGTTTATTGAACGTCTCCTATGTGCCAAGCATTATGTCATCTCTAGGGACAAACCTATGGCTGCTCCTCATTCATTTTAAGATGGTGTTCCCCAGATCTTGTTCCCTTCTCTTGTTCTTACAAATTTTAGAAATGGAACATTGTCTCTCTCCTTTGGAAAATGGGGCTCTGCCCACTTAAATCTTCTGCCTGGCCCATGGCTCTGGGTGACACTATCAGGGAGTGGTCTGCAGGGGTCCTCTATGTCAAGAGCCCCCGTGGTAGAGGGTCTGTGCTCTGCCTCTCAGAACCACTCCTGCCCCCAGGGCACTGCTCACCTCTGTTTCTGCCAGGGCAGTCCTGTGCTGGGCTGTGCTAGTCCGGGGTGGGAGAGGTTCCTTGAGGGGAGGGCGTGGAGGATTTTGAATCATGCAAAGTGGCTCATGTGTGTGGCTCATGGCAGCCATTGGTGGAGTGATGCATGGCCAGAGGAGAAATGTGGCTGGCCACAAATGACAGCCACAAACCACACCTATGGGCAGCCGCAGAGGGGCAAGAGGAAGACTCCCCGCCTCCTTGGCCTGGGGCCTTCTTTCTTCTGCAGTTCTCAGCTGTAGAGTTGATGGCTGTGGTCTCTTGAGAGATTTGTTCAAGGGATCTATGGCCACTAAATTTATTGGCCTCTTACTGAGCCTAGGACTTGTACTAAATACACGTATGAATTTAATGAATCCTCCCAATAATTCTAAGAGGTAGGTGCTGCTATTATTATTATTCCAATTTTATAAATAAGGAAACTGAGGCACAGAGAAGACAGGAAGCAGCAGACCCAGGATTCCAGCCCAGCCTCTCTGACTTGTGTCCTTGAGATTATCCACCTGCTCTATGGCCGCTATTCGTTCATGAAATACTGAAGGCTGAAAATGATCTTGTGAAGCATCCATCAGAAGGGCCTCCGAGCTGTCCCTATAATCCTCTATCCCTCCAAGCACTTTGGCATATTGCATCTTTATTTTTTAATATTTTTCTTTAGTTGTAGATGGACACAGTGACTTTACTTATTTTTATGTGGTGCTGAGGATTGAACCCAGTGCCTCACATGTGCTAGGTGAGTGCTCTACCACTGAGCTACAGCCCCAGCCCAGCATATTACATTTTTTTAGCATATTGTATCTTAACAAGCTTTCTTCAGAAGGCACGACAGAGGTAGCAAAATAACTAGAATTGTAGGAATTTTGCTTAAGTCTGTTTCTGCCCACGTATGCAAGTGTCACCTACCATGAAAGAGACAATTCTTTACCAAAGTCTGATTCTTCTTTTTCCTGGGCACAGAGCTACAGCTCCCAGACTCCGTCACAGTTCATCGTGACAAAATGACCGGCTCTTGTCAATGGAAGTGAGCAGAAGTGATGTGCCTCCCTTCCAGGCTCCTCCCCCGGCTCTGCCCTCTCCACTCCCTTTGTCCCTGTTCATCCACTAGATGCCTGTGGCCTGCAGGTGGAGGGAATGGAAGAGACACCTAATGGACAGAGCCTGGGTCCCTGTCTTGAGAAGGACACAGCAACTAAGAACAGCCATCTTGGACTCTTGAACAAAAACCTTGATGGCCTTTGAGCCAGCGTATATTTTGGAGTCGATCTATTGCCACAGACAAGTCTGTCCTAAAACACCATTGTCTTTGCTGATAGTCAAAAGTTGAGACTGGTCACCTTTGAGAACAATAAAAATCCACCAAGGGGCTTCTGGAAACTTCTAATCTCTCAGTGGTCCCATGTACCAACAGCCATGTCCTCCTCCCTCCCCCGCCAGAATGTGTCCCCAGGTTAACAGCAGAGGAGGCAAAGCCAAAGGAAAGCCAGCGCATGCATTACATTACCACATCTGTTTCCTTCAAGAGAGGTCCCGTTTCTCTTGGGGCTGGAGGCTGGGGGCCTCAGTCCAGGTGCTGCGGGGCCTCCAGAGGACACAGGACTGGTATGGGGACCACTGGTGGTGGTGGCAGGGCCTCCCCCAAAATGGCCATCTCCAGAGTTCAGCCTCTTACAGTAGAGTGAGGAGGGGGTGGGCAAGGAGCCCCTGTGGCCAAAGGAAGAGGTGGAGGGGTCCATACTGTAGCGGTTCATGGCCACGGGGCTCACCAGGCACTCTTCGGTGGTGACCGTCTTGGCTGAGTGGGAAAGCAGCACAGAGAAGAGACATCAGAGCAGTTCAGGAAGCCACCTGAGCCTCGCTCCTGGCAAGCCCTGCCTGCCCTGGCAGCAGGGTCACCTCTATGTGCGAGGGTGGGAGAGGAGAAATGAACTCCACTGATTCATTCCAAATGGCACACTGTCAGCAGATGGAGACAGAGGCTTCGCCATTTAAAGCGTATTTTAGTAGCAAGTGGGAGATGTGTCCTTCGTGGTTACAGGGAAAAAGTTATTATCTTGGCTACTGATGACTTGGAAATAAAATCCAAACCAAAGCCTCTTGGCGTTACCCTCTGTCCCCGTTTCCTCCCATCTGGTAGTCTCTGCTGGCTGGTCACCTCTCCCTGCTCACTCCCCCTTGTCCATCACCACTGCCCCACTCCTGGGGTCAAGATTCCCAGGATAGATCAAACAGGAGTCACTGGGTCTCACAGTTGGGAGAATCAGCTTTGGCTGGGGTTGTGACATGGGTTAATAGTGCTTCCTCCCCAATGCTCAGATCTAATACATCAAGGACACAAATGCTGATTGGACAACCCAGGGTCTTCTTCAGACTCTGCTCATGAGAGCCAAAGAGCCAGTCTAATGTGCAGTGGGGTGGAGGACCTGAAGAGTCTGCGGACCCCAACATCCGTTCCCCAAGTCCATCAGGACTTTCCAATCCTTTAAAGCTCAATCTTGAAGTCTGCTAAACTGTCTGTGATCTATATCTGTGGCCCAAGTGATGATTTCTTTGTTTTTGTTTTTGTTTTTTAACAAAGTCTTGAGAAATAATGGAAATAGAAAGAGGAAGAAATTATTCTAGTTTCTCCCACCCCAGACAAAATCACATCTGTACAGCTTCATCAATAATTATCTGTATATTAAACATCATCAAAATAGATCTTAATATCCCCCCCAAAAAATGCAATCAGAAACAAAAAGACAACACTCCAAGATCAGCAACGGAGACACACATTGGGGCCACAAGATCCAAACGTCTTCTCCGTGTTTGGATTCCTCCCACAATGAAGGTATCGAAAAAATTAGAACTGGGAGAACTAGCAGAATTTCTCACAGTTGAGGAGACACATGGAACTGGACAGGAAATAAAACCCAGTACAGGGGGCGTGAGCTAAAGCAGTGCTTAGAGATAAAAATCATTGCTATAAATACATTTCAAAGCAAGACAGATCTCAAATGAATAATGTCTTAAGACCCTAGGAAAAAAGAGCAAATTAAAATTAAAGCAAGCAGTAAAAAAGGAAATAACAAAGATTTGAGCCAAAAGCCATTCAATAAAATAATGAAGCCAAAAGCAATTCCTCAAAAAGATCATTAGGATTAACAAATCTCTAGCTAAACTGACCCAAAAAAGGGGAGAAGACAGCAACTCAAATCACTAGAATCAGAAATGAAAAAGGAAATATTACTACCAATTTTAGACAAATAAAAATTATTAAGGGATACATGAATAACCATGTGTCAGTAAATTATGTAACTTAGGTGGAAGGGATTAACTATTGGAACTGACTCAAAAATAAAGACACAATCTGAGAAGACATACTGCAAATAAAGAGATTGGATTAGTAATAAAATGAAAACTTTCCACAAAGAATGTCCAAGCCCAAATGACTTTATAGGTGAATTCTATCAACATGGAAAGGAAAAAAACAATAATGCCAATTCTTCACAAATTCTTCCAAAAAGTGAAAGAGGAAAGAATAACTTTCTAACCAATTCTATGAAGCCAGTGTTACCCGGATGCCAAAACCAGATGGACATCCTAAGAAAACTATAGACCAACATTTTATTTATGTGGATAAGGAAATCCTCAAAAGAAAATATTAGCAAAATGGAACCCAGCCACATATAAAAAGATTTATTTATATACCTTGACCAAGAAGGATTTGTCCTAGGAATGCAATGTTGATTAACATCCCCAAGTAATGTTACAAGCCATTTCAACAGAAGAACCGAAACAACCCAAAGACTACTCGATCATCCCAAGAGATACAGAAAAATATTTGACAAAATCCAAAATGCTTTCATGATAAAAATCACTCAACAAACCAGGGAACTTCCTCAACCTAACAAAGGGTATCTGCAAAACCCTGTAGCTGACATCATAGTTAATGGTGAAAGAATGAATGCTGTCCCCCTAAGAGTGGGAACAAGCCAAGGATGACCATTCTTGCCACTTTTATTAATATCATTCTGGAGGTTCCAGCCAGGAAAATTGGGTAAGAAAGAGAAAATAAAGGCTTCCTGATCGCTATGAAAAAGTAAAAGTATCTCTTATATGTACCAAATGCTAAGGAATCTAATTAAAAATTATTGGAACTAACACATCAGTTCAACAAGATCGCAGAAAACAAAATCAATTGTATTTCTATACACTTTCATCGAACAATATGAAAATGAAATCATTTAATATGTGTTCTTTCATGGCTGGCTTCTTTCACTTAGCATAGTGTTCCAGGTTCATTCACACTGTAGCAGGTGTCAGTAACTAATTCCTGTTAGTGCCCAAGTAATATTCCTTTGTATAGAATGTCACATTTCCCCCCCCCCCCATTCATTAGTTGATAGCCATTTGAGTTGTTTCCACTTTTTGGCTAATATGAATAATACTGTCATAAATATTCATATACTGGTTTTTGTATAGACACTTCTTTGCATTTCTTTAGAGTGTATACCTAGGAATGCAATTGCTTGATCATATGGTGATTCTACCTCATGATTCGATTTATATGGAATGTCCAGGATAGGCAATCTATAGAGACAAAAAGGAGATTAGTGTTGCTTAGGGATTGAGGTTAGGGTGTAGGGCGCATAGCTAAAGAGTATATGGCTTCTTTTTAAGGTAATAAAAATGCTCTCTAGTTGACTTGGCTGATGACTACCTATCTCTATGAATATGGCAAAAGCCATTCAATTGTATTTTTAAAATTTTTTTTAATTGTAGTTGAACAGAATGACTTATTTTTATTTATTTATTTATTTATCGAACCCAGGGCCTCACACATGCTAGGCAAGAGCTCTACTGCTGAGCTACAACCCCAGCCCCCTGAATTGTATTCTTAAGTGGGAAAGTTGTGTGAATTACATTTCAAAAAGCTATTAAAAAAAAAAAAAGATGTTGTCAGGAGCCCAGTGCTTCATGGACTGCAGGCTCTGAATACTATCCCAAGAGAATGGGACAGCATTTTGGGGGCACTAGGACCCAGTGAGGTGAAAGCTTAAGGGTGTATGCTAGTGGTGCATCTAGTAAAGTGCTGCAGGATATCTTTGGAGACCTGGAACTCTGCACTTCTGTCTTGATGGCCTCTCCTGAATCTCCTCTCTTTGGGTCCTAAGCCATCAGAATGAATGGGTCCTAAGCCATCAGTATCCTAAAAAAGAACTGGCTATGGAGCCATATACCAAGCTGCTTCTGGAATGAATTGACAGGAAGGGAAACTGATGTTATTGAGCACATACTATAGGCCAGCACCATTCTAAAGCTAGCAAGCAGTGAGGCTGTCCTTAAGTTTCCTTCCTTATGAAGTTCTCATAATCTGGGACACCAATCCTTCCCAGGTTCCATATGGCAGATGGTTTGGTACAAGTGAGGAAGCACAGCAATGTCTGGCATGGTACTTGGCCTAGAGGGGGGCTTGAGAAATATTTACTGAGTAAACATTTGGGTCCGTGTTAACAGTCAGCCTACCCTTACACAGAAGACGCATTGAAATTTGTATTGTAAGGGGCTTACCTACAAATTCTTCATGTAGACTTGTGATAAACAATGAAAAAAGATTTACCAAAAACACTTTCAGTTTATTTAACATTTTAAGTCTGTATTAAATATGCCTACATAATTCTGAGAATTCAAGTTAGAGATTGCGGATAATTCAGCACTATGGTTGGAAAATACAGATGCAGATGGAAGGGCATTCTCCTATGACAAAATGTGGGAATGGGGAGCGTAGGAACATGCACTTATTGGTTTAAAAACTGCTGAGCCAAAGGTAATAAAAGCCAGTCAATTTGGGCTACAATCCGAAAGGACTCATCACAAGATAAAACCAACCCCAGAGAGCATCCAGCAATAGCCCTCCACCGGGCAAAGTATGCCCAGGTGTACAACTAGGAGACCAATCACCACGCCCCAGACTCTGGCTCCGGGATAGACAGGTATGAACAGCCAGCTCAGATGCACAGACATGATGGCTTTCAGAATGGATCCCTTCAAACCTGGCTCACACAGCACCTTCTCACACTGATAAAGAGGAGCACTAACCTCTTTTAATGTCATAACCTCTAATTACGTCATAACTGAGTGTGAACGTGACTGATCTGGGGCGGGGTCACGGAGCACCCAGCCCGGCGCTCCCCCAAGTGTTAGCGCCTCCCACTGGTGGGTCAGTGTACGGACCTTAGGTAGAACAGCGGGTCGGCATTTCCTAGGGCTGCAGAAATCGCGACCAAGCGGGTGGCTTTAAACAACAGAGGTTTGCTCTCACAGTTCTGGAGGCCACACGTCTGAAATCAAAAGGGCAGCGACCTCTAGAGGTTCTAGGATCCTCCTTGCCTCCATCTGGCCTCTGGAGATCTCCCCCAGTCCTCAGGGTCTATCTGCATACCAGTCTCTGCCTCCCTCCTGTGTTCTCCCCGGGCTTTATGTCTGTCTCCAAATTTTCCTCTTTTAAAGACCCCAGTCTTTGGAGTAAAGCCCACCCTAATCCAGCATGACCTCAACTTGGTGACATCTGCAAAGACCGTATTTCCATGTAAGTCCCCATATGCAGGGATTAAGATTTAAACTGGGGGTTAAGATTTAAACATCCATCCTTTTGTAGAATAAAATTTGAACTTTCACAACAGGTAAATGTTATTTTTGATAGTTGTGTATTTTAATGTCTATCAATAAAATGTAAAGAGCACATCAGACCAATGTCTTTTTTTAAAAAAAAATATTTGTTTATTTTTATAGTTGTAGATGGACATAATACCTTTATTTTATTTATTTATTCATTTTTTTATGTGGTGCTTGAGGATTGAACCCAGGGCCTCACATGGGCCTACCACTGAGCCCACTCCCCCAGCCCCATCAAACCAATTTCACTGATACAATATGTTTCATTGCTTGAGCCGAATAAAGGCTTAAATTAAAAGAATAAATCAATTGAAAGAAATGTCTTAACATTGCTAAAGGTGTCACTCAAAGCTAGTAAAAATTGTGAAGGTGGCTTGTTAACATTTGAAACACACTGAGCTGAATCCAGTCTTTCTTTTCAGGCAAGGGTGTTGTCTACAGAGTAAAACAAGGACAACAACTGAGCCCCTTAGTTAAAAGCTCCCCAAAAGAGATGTTATCTCCCACTCAAGCCATTGGGCTACAAATCTTACAGCACGGTGGAAAAGTTCTTCTTTATATCTAACTCCAATCCCTCTTGATTCAATTTAAAAGATGAGTGCTGTATACATACCCTCTATGTTGTACAAAACTCACTGTCACTTAACATACAGGTAGATGAATTATAGGTATGCAGAACCTCTAGTAGCTTAAGAATTTAATTGAACTGGGACATATTTATAATCTAAATTCACTATTAAAAGTTGGTTTTGTTTTTTGTTTGAAAGGAGCAAATCTGTATTTGGAAAGAACCACACTTTTCAAGCAGTTCTGTGGTTGACTGGAGACTGAACACCAGATGGGGCCAACAGACCTGGAATCATCCAGCACCAGCACCCGTGGAGAATCCAAATTCCACACACAGGCTCCACAAAAACCACAGGGCTGACAGGTCAGGATGTTCATGGTCATTTCCTCCCAGATCCTTACAAGACCCTCTCATCTGAAATAAGCTGTGCTATGTCCCTGGCACCTCTTCCCCTGGAAGGAAAATGCTGGCTGAGCAAGGCAGGGTCAGCGGGAGCCTTTCTCTTGCAATCCCTGCATCATCCAGAAGACTAAGAATGCCGCCTACAAAGCATCCCATCTTTCCTCCAGGAATAAAAGAAGCAAGGAAGAATCTGCCTTTTGCATGATCACAAGAGAGAGCATGCTTAAATATACATCACACAAGTGTCCCCGTGCACAGAAATCCGCCACATTTCAGGGCGCAGTGTCTTGAGAACCTTTGGGAGAGCCTGGCCTTTCTTTGTCATCATTGCTCACCGGTGGACTGCTCTGTGTAAAGTGTGCCTATCCGCGAGGCCAAAGAGCACTCACGGCACTTCAAACCCACCGGAGCCTCCTGGGACACCCGTGTGCTCAAAAGTCACAACCTCCCTGTTTGGGGAACAGGGTTCCAGGGTTTCTGTAGTGGGGTGTCCCCCCTGCCTCCCTCCCCCTGCAATGTCCCGGGTAGAAAGTGGGGATGGACCTCCCAGGAATGGAGGTCTGTTTTGCTGGCTGGAGAGTGGGGGTGGCCCACATGGATGCAGGGAACTTCCAAAGGGTTAAAGGGCAGGAAGGAGAAAACCAAGGGCAGAGAGAGTGGAAGTCCCCAAGCTGGGAGAGAATGTCCCCAGCATATAAACCTCCAGCCCTCCAGACCAAGCTCAACTCCTCTTCACAATTGGCACCCAGAGGGCCTGCAGTTGGGGCTCAGTGGCAGAGCGCTTGCCTAGCACATGTGAGGCACTGGGTCTGATCCCCAGCACCACATTAAAAAAGAAAAGAGAAACTAAATCAACAAAATAAATAAAGGTAGCAGTCAGCATGCAGACTTGACCACTCACACGGAAGGGAGCCGTCATTTAAAAAATTAAACTGGCACTTTGCTTTTATTCTCTAATCAAGTGAAGCCCTAAAATGGAATAATATCACCAATTGCAAAATTATTCTCCCATCATACTATTTTAGCCAGTCATCACCAAAACATTCCAGAGTCTTCAACACTATTCTTCCCCATTTCTAACGAGTTCCCTCTTTCTCTCACTCACACACTCCTCCCCCTCCCCCACTGACCTCCCCCTTCAGTCATAATTCCCCAGTCGAGGGGGAAGCTGCGCAGAGCAACCCCTCCTCCTGTGGCCATCACTGCCACTTCCCCCAGGCCAGGAGCCCTGCCCTTCCCAGGATCGATGGCCTGACCCTTAGCAGGGCTGCTCAACCCAGCCAGCCCACGGCCCGCCCAGACTCTCTGGTCTGTTTCCAGAGGGCTCCTCGTGTGAACCAGGGGTGGTGGCAGTGACAGCACAGACCCCCAGCCCTGAAGCCCACCTTAGAAAAGGCAGCAAAACGGTTGGCAGATTCCAAGAGCTGTGAGTAACTATCACCAGATGCTAGCCAGGTGCCACCACCTAGAGAGCACAGCCCCGGAGGTTCCTGGGCACAGGACAGGGGACCTGCAAGGAGAGAAGCAAACAGAGGCAAGGGCAGGAGGAAGCAGGTGTCCTGGAGCCACACCTCTTCCACTCAGCCCACAAGCAGGTGCCTCCATTCCTACCTGGGCGCTCCTGTCCCTGCCACCAGGCAGCCTCAGCCACACTCCTCTGGCGACTGCTGGTTCCCAGCACCCGCTTGGAGCTGCGGGGCCTTCTGCTATGGACCTCGAGGGGACTTCTTGGTGGCAGAAGCCAGATTTCCTCCTTCCTGGTGCAGCCTCTGGCTGAGGCTCTGTTGGAGGCTCTGATTTTCTTTTCCCGGGCTCAGTCCCGCCCCTTGTTTGTGCAGATAAGCGCCTCTTTTTTTTTTCCCCCTTAGGGCCCTCTGTGGCCTCTTGGCCCAGCCTTCCTGGTTCAAAGGGCACCCAGCCACACAACCAAGAGGCTGAGCATTTCATTCGCCTCAATTAAATTTTCCATTAACTTGGTCTCTGGCCAGTATAGATTTTCTCTTAGAGCTTGTCTCTAGCTCAGATGGCTCAGCCTTAGGATCAGCCTTGACCCCCTCTGGTCCACTTAAGTACATTTGTACCTTTTCTTCCCTAATGAGATGCACAGAAACCAATCATAATTTTCACTCCTGACACCTGAACTTCTTTCATCCTCCCGGATGTTTCTGGTTTACATAAGACTTTATTCTAAGCTGTAGATTGATTTTTTCCCCCTTTGAAAATGTGAAACAAAGGCAATTTTGAGTTGGCTGTTTGGAATAACAAATGCACTTTCAGTGTCAAGAGGAGAGCAGGGTCCACGGCCACCTTCCCTGTCATCTTGCAGCTTTGCCAAGCCTCTACCCCAAGGCTCACAGGAACTCCAAAGAAGCAGGGGAAGGCAAACGTGGGTGGGACCCCCCCACACACAGTTGGCTCTGTTTCCTAAACAGCCCCCATGCTTTGGAGTCTTTTATAAACTTTGGGAAAATTGAAAGTGGTCCTTAGGAAACTGTTCGAGTCCCTGAAATAGAAGACACCTTACAAGTTTCAGCTCTAAATGGACATCCTGACTTTGAGGAAACCTCACAGTACTTCTGTACAGTAGTCCCCCTTATCTGGGAGACATCCATTCCAAGATCCATATGGATCCTGAAACCACAGACAGTGCCATGTGCCGTACATACTGTTTTCCTGATAAGTACATACCCATGATAAATTTTAATTTATAAGTTAGGCACAGTAAGAGATTAACAACAGGGCTGGGGCTGGGGCTCAGTGGTAGAGCACTTGCCTGGCATGTGTGAGGCACTGGGTTCGATTCCCAGCACCACATATAAATAAATAAAAGTCTACCAATATCTAAAAGAAATTAATAAAAAAGAGATTAACAGCAATAATAAAGATAGAATAATAAGCTAATATAATAACATATTGGAATGAAGGCTATTGGAATGTGGTTTTCCTCTTTCTCATCTCCCTCTCAAAATTGTATTGTACTGTACTCACCCTTCTTGTGCTGATGTGACAGGATAAAATCATACATGACGAGATGAAGTGAGGTGAATGACACTGGCATTGTGGTATACCATAAGGCTACTACTTAATGGTTTGAACCCAGCACCACAATACTATACTACTGTTCTGAAAACTCAGATGGCTACTAAGTGCCTAATGGGCAGGTAGCATATACAGTGTGGATACGCTAGACAGAGATGATTTACCTCCCAGGTGGGACAGAGTGGGACAGTGTGACATTTCATCATTCTACTCAGATTGTTGCACAATTTACGACTTGGCCTCTTTTACAGGCTCTTTTTCCTCCTCCACACTCCTTCATACAAGGAGCTCTCACAAGTAGAAAGCACACTGGACGTTCACTAACATCCTCATTCTGCTCCTGGAGTCTTGGGTGTTTGCATCTTTAATATACAAAATGAGGGCTGGAGTTGTGGCTCAGTGGTAGAGCATTTGCTTGGCATGTGTGAGGCCCTGGGTTGAATCCTCAGCACCACATATAAATAAATAATAAAAAAGATCCATTTACAACAAAAAAAATATTTTTAAAAAATATACAAAATTATTTTACATGATATGTTGGAAAAGAAGAATATTTTGTCTTTTTGTTCTATTTGACTCTTGATACTTTCTATGTTATCAAGGTAGTCAACATGATTCAATATCATATGCTCTATCTCATATTTAGGAGCCTTGAGCAATTAAAATATCTTAATTGGAACTGTCATTCATTCATTAAACTATGAGTACTGAGTAAATAACTTCCTTGATCTCTAAGATTGTAACCTTAGCCTTTTACAATGAAGTGGGATCCAATAAATTATTGGATATAGTAAAAATATGTTTCAAATTCTACAAAGCTCAGGCTTTCCTCTGGAGGTCCTTAAAAAAAGAGAGGGATTGTTGACAGGTACAGTGACTCACATCTGTAATTTCAGTGGCTCGGAGTCTGAGGCAGGAGTATTATGAGTTCAAAGCCAGCCTCAGCAAAAGCGAGGCACTAAGTAACTCAATGAGACCCTGTCTCTAAATAAATTCAAAATAGGACAGGGGATGTGGCTCAGTGGTTAAGCATCCCTGGGTTCAATCCCTGGTACCAAAATGAAAAAAAAAAAAAAAAAAAAAGTTCAAAGCCAGCTGCAGCAACTTACTGAGACTCTAAGCAACTTAACAAGGCCCTGTCTCAGAATAAAATAAAGGGCTGGCTCAGTAGTGAGTGAGAGAGAGGGAGAGAGAGACAGAGAGAGAGAGAGAGAGAGAGAGAGAGAGAGAGAGAGAGAGATTGTGTTTTTCCCTTTTAGCTCAATGTTTTGACATACGTACAGACATCATAATTTATTGAAAGATATGGTTGAACACACAACTGATGGCTTTCCCCAGTGCATGTGGGAGCACTAGGACTTGACCCTCCATGCGAGCACACCCCGATTCCACCCCTCTATTCCACATTCTGAGGACCCTGGGCTTCTGCTGGTCCTGGGTGTCAGAAAATAAATGAAGGCTTTGGTATTTGCTGCAGGACTTGTGCACTCTTCTTTAACCTTTCCATCAAAACCTTCTGCAAGGATTCTTAAGACCTGAACTTGCCACTGACAATTTATTCTCCTTTGCAAATGACCCCCTTTCCACTGCTCAGCTGGAGATCCAGAGAGCTCATTTTGTCTGTGTGGCCCCTGGCTGTGACAGAAAGAACAAAGCTCCGCCCCAATGTCCCAGTCCTGTGGCTCACACTGCAAGACCAGCAGCTGCAAGGGGACCTGGACTAAAATGCCTTCCATCACTTCTATTCTTTCTTCTTCCAGGAGAGCCTGTTTCAGTTCCTCCCCTACCCCAAATATTTATGGTGGCAAAATATATGAAACATCAAATTTACCACCTTAACCAATTTTATTTATTTTACCAATCATACCACTAATGGGAGCAAAACAACATAACCTCTGCCACTTCACCCAAAAGCCCATGTTGACTTTTTTGTTACTGCTGTTTTGGTACCAAGGATTGAACCCAGAGGCGCTTAGCCACTGAGCCATATCCCCAGCCTGTTTATTTTTTTGATTTTTTAAAAATTTGAGACAGAGTCTCACTAAGTTGCTCAGGGGTCTCATAAGTCACTGAGGCTGGCTTTGAACTTTCAATCTTCCTGCCTCAGCCTCCCCTCAAGCTGCTGGGACTACAGGCATATGCCACTATGCCTGGCCTGTGTTGATTATTTTTAAAAGTGCTGTTCAGTGGTATTAATGACATTCCTAACGTTATGCACTCATCACCTCTGTCTATGCCCAGAACTCTTTTCATCTTGTAAAACAGAAACTCTGTGCCCATGAGTCAACAACTTCCCCTTCACTTCTTTCTTCCTGCTCTGCCATTTCTTATAATATTTAAAATACCAGGTTCAACAGGGCCTCATGCCTGGTGGGGTGGGGTTTTAAAGATGATAAAGTTCTCCAGGTGGTTGGATGCTGTCTCTGCCTGCCTGTGACCAGTGTTGCCGTGGCACAAAGGTGAACCCAGAAGGAGGAGAGAGAATGCACCTCTCTGGAGTGAGGTTTCCACTGCAGCTTCACTGAAGGGGACTGGGATTTGGTTTGTTCCCTGACCTCTTTGCTAGAGGTGACCCAGGTGAAATCCACTTGGTGCAGTCAGCCTTCTGAGATGGGAAACAGGGTGCACCCCTCCCAACCAGTGTTGGGCAATGCTTACAGGTAGCATTGGGAGGACAAGCAAAGGACCAGGAGAGAAGACCTGCATGCAGTCTCCTCCCGAGGCTGCCCTCCCATGTGGCTCTGAGCAAGTGGCCTGGTCTCTGTGCATCTCATTGCATTAAATAAATGTCCACAACTGGCTAGATGGATGGATCTGTAATGGCACTCACGCCACTTGACATACTCTATCCCCTTTTAGAAATAAGCAATCTTTTAGAAAGATAGATGTCCTCCATGTGGTCACTCTCTGTAGAGCTATTATATTAGACAAATCTGTCACTGAGCAGGGAAGCGGATTTGCTTTCTAAATGTCGTGTGTACAGGTTCAGCCATAACGGAACATACCGTGAGGGTCTGTTACTCTAGTACTTCCTGGTGCCAGGATCAAAGACCACAGCCAAGGAAGAAAAGAGCAAGTCTGGGGAGTAAATGACCCTCCTCATCAACCTCCTACCATCTGTGCATCAAAGAAGCCACTCAACAAGAAGTAAACAATTTGTTTATATCATGCTAAGCCTTCAAAAGACAGGAAACCCGCTACTCAATTAGATCTTGCAGAAGGGTTCAGCTCTCACAGTTGTGGTTTCTATAGAAGTTTGTTCTGCTATATTGCATAGAATGCAAGCTAGTAAATATTCGTATGTATTTGTTCTGTTACAGGCTCTGCTGTGGACGGGTGGCCCTGCCCCCAGTTCTATCTTGCAGGGGAGGTGAGCTCTGGACCTAGGGTCCTACAATATAAGCTAAAGTCAAATACCGTCATGGATGTGGAAAGAAGGGCCTGGGAGATTAGATGGGCATCTTCTCAGGGCTGGAAGAGACTTAAGGGTACCAGACCCCCTGTTGCAGTTTGCCAGGCCACACTGAGAAATTTGTCTGTCATTCTTTCTTAGTTTCACCTTCCTTCCTGGATCTACGCATCTCTTTCTCACCTGGATTTGTAGCTGTGCCACCTCCACCCAACCACTCTGTCCCTCGCGCCTCTCTCTTCTTCTCTAGACCATGGAATGTCTCCACTGGACATCAGAATCATCTTCAGCAGCAACATTTGTACCAAAAAGGAAGCATCTTAATGTGGATAGACTGAAAGAAAATTCCCTATGTGAGCTGGGCTCTGCCAGCCCACACTTGATCACTCAGAGTGTGGCCCCAACCAGCAGAACCTGTTAGAAGCAGGTGCTCAGGCCCCACCCCAGTCTGCTAGCCAGAATCTCGGCATTTTCTTAAGAAGTCCAGGTGGTTCCCATGCACATTCAAGTTTGCAAAGCAACTAAAGGATATTTATTCCTGCAACTTTTTTTTTTCAATACCCAAACATAAAAGAACATTTTCCCCAGGATCATTTCATGACTTCTGACCAATGTTACCGGATCATCTTTCTGCCTCCATCTCCTGATGTATCCAGAGGCTGCTCTACTTCCTAAAGCACTAGCCATGTTTAGACAGTTAATGGAATTGGAGGGATAGGCCCGCAATTCCTGATTCAAGCCAAGAACACTAACCTCTTGCAGCTGGGTGGTCTTGAAACCTGGATTTCCCTGGAAATAGAAAAAAGGTTCTTTTAAAAAAATATTTATTTTTTAGTTGTAGTTGGACACAATGCCTTTATTTATTTATTTATTTTTATGTGATGCTGAGGATTGAACCCAGGGCCCCACACATGCTAGGTGAGCGCTCTACTGATGAGCCACAACCCCAGCCCAGGAAAAAGATTTTTGGAGAGAGAAGATATATTTCAAAAGTCTGAGGAAGATATTTGTAAGAAGCCCTGCCTCTGCTCCCAGGAAGTTTTTTTCAAGGGAGAAAACTGGTGTCCTTCCCTTTACCTCTGTAAGGCCCCTTGCTGGGACTCCTGGGGTCCCTGTTCTTCCTGCTGCCTAGGGCTGTCCTCTGCCATGACTCCAGCCCATGACTCTCAGCCTGGAAATGACCAGAGGAGACATCGTGTTCCTACTTCTCTGGGTTGTCAAAGTGCCTCTAGTGGCCTTCATAGGTGAATATGTGCATATATTTGTCACCAGTAATGAGGACCTTCCACCCAAGATGCCCCTTCTACTTCTGAGTGGCTTTGACTTTTCAGAACTCTTTTATGATGTCAACCCCACCTGACTCTTTGAGGGGATTGATTTCACAGAGCTCTTCCTGGTTATTTAACTGTCAAGTTCTGTACCTGGGGAGTGTTGCTTAAATCCACACCTCTGGAATTTCAGTGTGTCTTCAAAACAGCTGGGGGTCTGCTGTCAAAGTCCTGGAGGGCTGCTGAGCTCTGCCATCCTCAGGGGACCAGAGTTTGAGTGGCAAGACCTCACTTCTGCTTTTCAGCCACAAAGAACAAAGTGCACATGACCTGCTATCCTGCACTGGAATCGTGTCCTCCCAATATCTTCCCGGTTCCTTCCCATAGCATCCCACTTCCCTGGATGGCTCCTAAGTTGTCATAGCTTTGCATTTTCATATCAAGGGATTGCTGCCTTTTGACACATTCCAGTGACAAACCCTCTAAGTATGTGACACTGAGACACTCCGGCCTGGACTGAACATCTTGGGGCAGAATGGGAGCAGGCATTGTTCTGGTTCAAATGAGCTCAAGACCTTACAATCTTGTTTAGGAACAATATGGTCCTACGGATATCTATGGAGTCTAATATCAAAAGGCTCCCACCCCTTCCTGCAGAAGGCCCTTCCTGTCACAATGAAGACAAAGTGGGTATAAATGAATTCCTCCTCTAACGTAATAATAACTTGATATGTTAGACTGCAAGGGAACTGTGACAGGCAATTCTAACGAGGCAGTGTCTTATGCTAAAGGCCAACTCCTGAGTGGTGTCATCTGAGGGCTCATGGCACACTGGTAGGAAAGACATGGGCAAGGGGATTTCTCAGAGCCAACCAGGCCACTGCTCCCTGCCCTCTCCCTGAAGCTCCCTGAAGAGTAAAGACTCAGCACTTGATTCTGTAGCACCCAGGGCATGAGGAGCTATTGCCACAAGGGTATTTGATTTGGAGCTTCTTATGGTTTAGATGTGCTGTCCCCCAAAAGCTCACGTAGAAGATAATGCAAGAAGGTTTGAAGGAGAAATGACTGGGTTATAGCCTTAGCCTAATCAGTGAATTAATCACTGATGGGATTAACTGAAGTGGTAGGATATGACTGGAGGAGGTGAAAATTGGGATGTGGCTTTGGGTATATTTGTATCTGGTGAATGGACTCTCTTTTTCTGCTTTCTGATCACCATGATGTGAGCTGCTTCCCTCTGCCACACTATTCCGCCACAATGGTCAGCATTACCTCGAGCCCCAAGGAATGGAGTCGGCCTTATTGGACTAAGACCTCTGAAAGTGTGAGCCCTCAAATAAACTTTTCTTCACCTACAGTTGTTCTGGTCAGATCCTTAA